TGTCAAAACCCAAAAAGCATTGTTTAGGGCAGTAAGTGATATTTGATCTTGAAATTTTTAAAAAAGGTAATGGGAGAATTAGTTTCCAAATGATCAAGCAGTATCATTTAATAAAATGCTCACAGGGCCTCTCAGAAAGAGTATGTTCTGGAGGTAATGATGGGTCAGTTATTCTTGGGTATGGAAGGGCAAGAATAGAACCCTGGAGGTCTCAGGCTCAAGGACACCCAGATTGGGTGGGCAGTAGTGAGAGATGGGAGTTCTAATGTAGCATCAACAAACATGTTGCCTTGCCTGGCTAAATCAATGATTAAAGTCATGTGATGAAAGTGTTTGTATGACATTGTGGACAGTGGGGATTTGCTAATCCTGGTTTAACCGGAGACACTGACCAGGACTTTAACCTCACCCATAGCAAGATCACCCATATGCTGGGTGGCCCCAAGGGCGGCTTCCATGATTACCCCGTGACACCTCCTTAACTTCATCCTAAAGCATTTATTTGCACTAAAGCATTTGTGAACAATGCAGATTTTACTAAAGGTTTCATAGGACAGACTGAAGACACAATTTACATTGCATATGTTAGAGTACAGATGGTCCCTGACCTAAGATTTTTCAACTTTACGGTGGTGTGAAAGTGATATGAATTCAGTAGAAAGTGTACTTTTTGGATTTGGATCTTTTCCTGGCTAGTAATATGTGGTATGATACTCTCTCAAGACGCTGGGCAGCAGCAGTGAGCCACGTCTCTCAGTCAGCCATGCAATCATGAGGGTAGATAACTGATTATTTACGGTGTATACTGTGTTGTCAGATGACTTTGCCCAACTGTAGGCTCATATAAGTGTTCTGAGTACATTTAGGGAAGGGTAGGCTAAGCTACAGTGTTCAGTAGGCTAGGTGCATTTTGACTTACAGTATTTTCAATTTATGATGGGTTTATTGGCACATAACCCCATTGTAAGTTGAGGATCATCTGTATTTCACTAAAAAATTCCCTTTAGACTGGTCTCATCTCTGAAGTCCTTCATCTGGCCACCATCCATAAAATTGTCTTCTCTTTTACTCTGTGCAAGCCATATTCTTGACAAGTCTATTATAGTTATTAGTAAACACTTTTAGAGATGGACATAGGAGGGCTGGGGCAGTCTATGACAACAGTAGATAGTGGCATCAAATTAGGATGAGCTTTCCAATTATTTTCTGTAATGTCCTTGATATGTTATGGTCCGTATGCCAAGACCTTCATGTGATTTTCTCTCCAGTTGTGAACTGAGATAATAGCATTTTATTTTCATTTTATTTTCTATCTCCATTCTTGTCATATTATCAGAAAATAATTTTTTTGTTTCCTATAATAAGAAAATAGGTAACTTTCCACGTAAAAAGTGGTTGCCTTTTCTTTCCCTGCTTCAGTAATTCTTGCAGGTGAGAAACTATATTTAGACCTCAGCTCCCATAGTCCTAGAGACTCAGGGCTCAATCTGTCAGCAGCCATAGGCAATTGTTTCCCCAAATAATTGCCACATAAGTGCTTAAATAATATAGCAGAAAAGTGTCTTCTAAGAATGGAATTATATAAGCAATACAGTTTGGGGGACTCTATTATTTATGAGTGCCTATGATGTTTTTACATGTATTTTTTTCACTTAATTCACTCAACACACTTTAATGTGTGTTAATTTACTCAAGCACATTTGAGGTAGGCTAGGCTAAGCTGTGGTGATTGGTAAATTAGGTGCATTATCAACCACGTTTAACAGTTGAAGAATTTGAGGTAGAGAGAAGTTAATTCATTTTCGTGGGCCATAGAGCTAACAAATAGTGAAACTTAGACTCAATCATAGGTCTCTGAGTTAGAAGCACAGCTCTGTGTGGGTGCAAGTGTGCTTGCGTGTGTATGCATGTATGTTTGTTGGGGAGGGCATGAAAGGGACAGAGAAATCACAGTCCCCTAGTACATTCTTCAATATTGGTCCCTTTCCAACTGCCAAAACCAAAGGAAAAGTGTTAGCTTTACCCTGTGGTTGAGACTACGATGAAAAGACAGAAGTTGGAGCACTGAAGCGAGACTATGCGGTGTGTGGAGAAAGTAATTTCAACCCTTTAATTATTACAAAACAGTGTTTATACATTGAATAAAGTTAAAAATACAGATAAAAAAAAGAAAATGAAAGCATCATGTTCCCGTTGCCCAGGGATTACTCCTGTTTACACCTCAGCCCATATACTTCCAGGTGGACACATGTATGTGTGTATGTGCATGTATTAATATTTTTACAGAATGCAATCATACTGTACATGTTGTTTTGTTACGGCTTCCTACAGCCAGCCATCTTCATGCTCCCTTGACAGTACACTGGCTTGCTGCCTCCCCCACCAACCTATGCGTGTGTGAGACTCCTGGCTCTGCCTGGCCCTGCCTCCAAACTTGCTTTCTTCTTCATTATGGCAGAGTCTGGCTATGTTCTTTTCACAATAACATCTTATTTGTGAGCAAACTTTTTCATCTCTGATTCTAAGTCTAAACACAAAAGGCAATGGGATGTAAACAAGGATGAGATTTAGATTAGATATCATAAATTCTTTATCTGGAATCCAAACTGAGCCTGTGCAGGCATGGCTTGCATGTGCATGTACTGTATGTTAACAAGCAATAGGCAAATGTCAAATAAATGGTCTGATACCAGGATTCATTTTGTCTTTTTATAGTTCTGAGGTTACAGTTTTGTTCAGTGATAATTATGGTGGGAAATGATAATTCAAGGCCCCCCCAAGAATCTGACATGACTTTTGGGTCATTACCAAAAAAAGATTGATGCATATCAGGGTTATTATTTTTTTTTTAATTTTTAATTTTTTTTTTTTTTGAGACAGAGTCTCGCTTTGTTGTCCAGGCTAGAGTGAGTGCCATGGCGTCAGCCTAGCTCACAGCAACCTCAAACTCCTGGGCTCAAGCGATCCTTCTGCCTCAGCCTCCCGGGTAGCTGGGACTACAGGCATGCGCCACCATGCCTGGCTCATTTTTTATATATATATTAGTTGGCCAATTAATTTCTTTCTATTTATAGTAGAGACGGGGTCTCACTCTTGTTCAGGCTGGTTTTGAACTCCTGACCTTGAGCAATCCGCCCGCCTCGGCCTCCCAGAGAGCTAGGATTACAGGCGTGAGCCACCTCGCCCGGCCTGATATCAGGGTTATTTTATGATTAAGAAGCAGGAGTAACTATTCCAGTATTGCGGGTATTTAAACAACAACATCCTGCTACTTTCTTACATCACCTCCTGAAAATTTGAGATGTTTCTTATTGTGTAGTCAAGCTCCTCTTTGTAAGGTGAAGTAAATGGAGTCATTATTTGGTTTTGCTGATATTCTACTTTATACAGGATCTCTGAGCATTTTAATTTTTAAAATTAATTTTAAAAGTTAATTTTATTTTTTAATTGATACATATAAGATGTACATATTTGGGGGTAACATGTGCTAATTTAATACATTCATGTATAATAATTTATAAAGAGAATCAGTGTAATTGGGCTATTCATCACCTTAAATATTTGTCTTTTCTTTATGCTAGAAATAATAAAATTGTTTTGAAATATACAATAGATTTTTGTAAACTATAGCAGAGCATTGGTTTTCTTTTTCCCATGTAGCACCCTACTTTGTTAGGTTTTATGGATTGAAAGCCAAAATTTTTTTGCATTGATGGGAAAATACCCTATGGAAATTTTTTCATGTTAAAAATCATAGTACATATCTCAGCTTGAGATCAACATGCCTTATGTACTGATGCATAGGAATTGATATTTGATGGTCTTTGCCTATGTTTTAAAATATTTAACTATTGCTATTTTGTGGAATGATGCATGAGGCCTAACTTCTTGCAATTTTTTTTCCTTGAAGACTTCATACTTTGTTGTATTCCAATTCTTTATCAATTAGCAAGGATATTAACAATACGGGTCTACCCCTCTTATACCTATTGTTATAATAGGGGGCAAGGGGTTCCTAATGAATAAACTGAGATATTAATATGCCAAATGTTTCATGTGCATCTGGTCAGAGAAGGCAGTAAATGTTATAAGAGAGAGAGAGAGAGAGAGAGAGAGAGAGAGACAGAGACTAACCAGCATGTTTACTCCAAAAAGTGGGAGATCAGTGACTTGGTCTTTAGTCCCGTGTCCCAGGTTAGTATTATCTGTCCCACCATGTAGTTTGTTGCTACTGTCAGTTCTTTAAACTTGTTTCTACAAATGAGTGCTTGTTGATGATGAGAAGTGTTGCAATGCATTCTTGAGGGAGACTGTGAAGCTGCCTTCCTAGAAGTTGTAAAGACTGGCTTTGCTTTGTGGATCTGGAGTAGTTGGGGACGATCTTGCACATTGCTGACGGGTGGACAAGAGGGGCTGTGCATCATGAAATTTCGCTCCAGTTCTTCCAAACCGTACAGTCTCTTAAATGTGACACAAAACTCAATCAAATGAGAAACCTGTCTGCTCATTGGGGGTTGAACAGATACTACCTACCCCTCCTTCCCCAGGAAAAAACCCCACAGCCCTAGGGAATAAATAATATTTTACAGGTAAAGATTAAATTATTTTGATGGCCATTTCTCTTTGAGACAATTCACAGTGGGCTGAAAAGCCACAAAATAGAACTGAAAACGTGATTCTAATCTAGACTAATGTGTATTGTTTAGTATTTACTTCTGTCAGTACATTAATCATGTCTTATTATGCTTCATGCTAACGTTATATTTAAAAAAGCCCTAATGATAACATTGATGCATTGTCCTTTGTTGTGAATATAAAGACTAAATTTGATGAATAGAAGTTAAGAAAATGTTTAATCTTCCATTATAGTATAATGATTGAGATTCATCCATCTGCTCCACAATAATAATAATTTATCATGAATGAGCATGCTTATAAAATTATGGAGGCATATAACAGAAATTGGGTTCCTTTCCCTAATTAAAATTTTTTGAACTTACCCCCTTGAACTCATCCTATGCTTTTGCCTTTAAGGTCCTCCATTATACCCCAGATTTCCTCCTTCCACTTTTTTTTCCATGTTCCCATTAATTCTTTTTGAGGAACTGGGAAATAGAAGAGGACAGAGACTTGTAAACATCTCAAGCACTAAGCTTTCTCACTTCTATTTAGAAGCCTTGTCGCAATTTATCTATATCTTTTATTTCTCATTTAGTGTCCTGAAGATTTTTAAAGAAAATTTGAATGCTTGTTTTTCTATCTAGCTAACTTTGATCTGATGCTTCAAAATTAGAGTTTGGGCTGACTACAGACAAAATGTGAGTGCATAGTTGGGGTAGGCCAGAGAAATAAATTGGGGTTTCATTCTGCAACAGATTCTGCACGTTTTCATTTTAACCTTGAGCTTGCACACAGGCAGGTGAGAGAATGGACAATCCTATGGAACTATTCTGGCAACGTTAATGCTTCTACGGAGAGGGAATTCTGTCCTTAAGCTTAGGCAGGAAGCAAGAGAATCTGACGAAAACACATGACAGAGTTATTTAATGATCTGGATGAAGGAACAAACAGTACTTTTATAAATTAGCTAATAAAATTAGATGGAGAGGTGTCATGACACCCAGGGGAACAGAGAAAATACCTAAGAAGAATAAGATCTATTGGCAGAGGAACGATTTCTCTCGACACTGATGAGTTAATTTCACTTGGAAATGACTCTCAGTTCTCTGAACAAGTGGACTTGAGGGCGGAAAGAATTTATTAGAAAATAAAATGCTGTTCCTGGAACCCAAGCTGCTGCAGGATTGGAGAATTAAAGATGTGGATGGTCACAAAGGAGTCTATACAGAAATGTATGGAGGAAAAGTCCAGCAGCCTTGCCAGCTATGTCGCCAGGATAGTAGAAGAGAGCATGTGTACAAAAAGTTCAGAGAATTAAAAAAAATTGAAACTTACAAAAAGTTTAGGGAATTAAAAAAATCCATGTGCCCACCTACCATAGTAGTATTTGCCATGTTTTTTTTAAATTTACTTTTTTATGTCATAAGTTGTTGCTGATGCAGTTGAAACTTTTGTTTGTTCCTCCCGGATTTTGTTGCCCTCTCCAGAGGTACCATTCTTGTGAAATTAGGACATATCCTCCCTCTTGTGGTTTTTTATTCTTTTACACTGGGTACGTATGTATGCATTTGCATATAGTCTTAATGCCATATAAATGACATTATACTAGACACATCCTTCAGCTACTTTTTTTTTTTTTACTCAGCATTGTTTCCAATATTTATCCATGTAGATACATGCAGCTTATTTTAACTGCTGTATGGTATTATCTTGTAGGAATATATCATAATTTATTTTTTCATCTCGCTATTGACGAACATTTAGGCTGTTTCCAATACTAAGCTGTTAAAACCAACCCGCAGTGAACATATTTTGGCTTGTCTGCTTGGGCATTTACGTGAGATTCTTTCCTGAGGTATATCTGTTAGAAGTAGAATATATGGATCATAAGGCATGCACATATTTGAATTTTCTAGCTTTTGTCAAATTGCCTTCCAAAATGTTTGGACTATTTTATAGCTCTACCAGCAGTGTATTTCCATTTTGCCACATCCTGCACTTTAAAATTTCTTTGTCAATTGATGTGGTTCTCTAAGATTTTTAATATCAGAAGAGGCCTAAATGGCCTTTTGAGATCCTTTTTTAGGTCTAAGAATCAATTCCCAACACACAGAGTTATATTCCACTATGACACTTCTATTTTGCCCTAATGAAATTGCTATTTCATTAGTGCTGGAATTAAATTGTAGCCTGGTATCAGGCCTATTACATTTTGAATGTTGATAATCCTGAAATTTCTGGTGATGTATTAATAAAAAATTATTATTCCAAATCTTTAATGCCAGATACTTGGAAGGAATTTACATCACGGCAGGAATGTATAACTCCCGGCACGTGGGTCAAGAAATAGTGTGGCATCTAGTCTGTGTCAGACTGAATGTGTCTTGGGTGGGGCTCTTGGACTCCTGTGAGGGGGTTTGGGGAAGTCAAGGAGCCAGCTCTACCCTGGCTTACGTTCTGGGTGTGGAACGAGCTCTGCAACCTTCTCTGCCAGTGCTGATTCTAATCACCGTATCTCTCCATAGCGAAGAGGGAAATTCAAAGGCCCACAGCCTTGAAACAAACCCCAAACCTGGTAACCAAACACACAAACACAACCATTTCTGGATTCATTCCTCCCAGAGTGGAGAGCAGTGCTCCAAGAAACAACATCTTGAAGAAAGATGAGTCTCCACAAGCCATCGTAAACTTAAGAACTTGAACTTGAGAAGGCAGACCCGAGGGTAAAGAAACACATTTATTTCAGCAATAGGCTGAAAAGTAACTAGAAACAGTCTGGTTTGGCTGAATTAATAAATTAGCACCTAGTAACCTATGTTTATTTTAATGGAACACTGCAGTCATACGAAGAATAAAGAAGTAACATACACAAGAGCAAAGTTGAAACAACCAGAGAGCTCCCTGTGGAAGTTAAGTTGTAGGAGTCCCATCCCGTGTGACTCTTTTCAAGTGCTGTAGTGGTTGTAACCTGCCAGGAGAGCTTTTCCTTCCTTGAGTGTCTTTGGTAAACTAGAGAGTTGAAATAAAACTTACTAGGTCGGGCGCGGTGGCTCACGCCTGTAATCCTAGCACTCTGGGAGGCCGAGGCAGGCGGATTGCTCGAGGTCAGGAGTTCGAAACCAGCCTGAGCAAGAGTGAACCTGTGTACTATAAATAAAAGAAATTAATTGCACTGAATATATTATATTATAAATATATATATTATTATTATATAAATTAGCCGGCATGATGGCACATGCTGTAGTCCAGCTACTCGGGAGGCTGAGCGAAGGATTGCTTGAGCCCAGGAGTTTGAGGTTGCTGTGAGCTAGGCTGATGCCATGGCACTCACTATAGCCTGGGCAACAAGCGAGACTCTGTCTCAAAAAAAAAAAAAAAAGAAATAAAACTTACTAAATGAAAATGAATAAAGGTTTGTGGCTAGAGAAACGCATCTGGGTAGATGAACTATCTTCTGGTGATTCCTTAAAAAGAGAAACAGTAGCCTCATTATGTCTAAGTAAACCTTACCTTTTAACACCTTTCCAGATAAGCTCAGCTGAGAAACAGGAATCTTTGGTGTCAGGACAGAGCTTTGGAATTTAGAAGACTTCCTGCTTCACAATGGAGACAAGGTGGCCACTGGGCTAGACAGAGGGGAAGGTGGTGGCTCATGGAGACTCATTCTAGGTCGTTAAGTCCCTCATAAAATTATAGAGCTTGCTCCTTCTCCCCATTTCAAACTCAGAATTAGTTTAAAACTTACCTTTATTTAGATAAAGTCCAATACTTAACAGCATTTGCATATACTAGGAAATTTATTCATAGAAACATATAAACTCCTTTAACTTTCACAACAATCACTATATCTATTTTGCTGATGGAGAAACTGAGGCACAGAGAGTTTGAAAAGCTAGTAATCAGCAGAGCTGGGATTTGAAACTGGGGCTAAGTCTGTGTTTTTAACCACTGCATTATAACGCCCCTCATTGAAAGCATTGTTTACTGCCTCTTTCCAGCTTTTATACAAATAAAAAGCATACACGTGGTTCCGTTATCTTCTAACCATTCTAACCATTCTAACAAACCAACTCATCAAATGGAAAAATTAGGTTAAAAAAGGTTGTCACATCCTGTTTACTTTAACAGACAAAATATAATTTTAGTGATGCTCTTTTGATGTAAACATAAAATATTGAAAGCGTAAATAAACTATCAGGCCAACCAAATAGTAATTATTTTGACATTAAACAAGATATCCATCTGCTTTCTTGAGTAAATAATCTCTGACAGCATCTAAAAGACAACAAGGCCACGGAGCATTCAGGGCACTAATGTATGCACTACATGGGGATAAAAGAAGCAAATGTTGATGGATCAAAGGGGGCTCAGGGCAATGAGTAATGTAACACTCATCTCAAATTAAACAGCCTTCTCCATGACGTGATGCAGTTTTGTCTACTCCACTTTCTTCAGCATCTGGAAGAAGAGAAACAGTATTCCTGGCAAAAAGAGAATTAGGAAGGAGGAAGGCAGACATGGTGGGGCAAAGGCAGAGAAGGGAAAATGAAGAAAAGAACAGAGGAAGACACCTGTGTTCTGGCTTCTGCTCTGCCCCATGGGACGGGTGAGGATCCATACCTCGCACCCTAGTCTAGCATCACTGTACTTAAAGTGCTTCACCCTAACCTGTGGGTGTCTGTGTTCTGGGACAGTGGTGTTTAGAATATTGGGACATCTTTGAGAATGTGATGAAAACATTAGAGCACCTACAGAGGAAAAAAATGCACAATCGTAGAAACAAAAATTTGCTTATGATATCAGGTGACTCAAAGATTCTCTGAGGCTCACTCATGTACTCCAAGCCAATCTTGCTTAATAGATCTCAGGAAAACGATCACATCTTTAGAAATTGTTCCATCAATCCAACTGTATTGAATAAGCACCTAATGTATACTTGGTACTTGGTAGATACAAAAGAAAAGTTAAATGTTATTCTTTGCACTAAGGAGCTTAGGAGTTCATGGCTGATTTTCCAGACAAACCAACAAAACACATAGAGATTGATTAAATACGATCTGAAGTAGTATTAATAATAATCAAGAATCTTTATCAAATACTTAGGGACAGCCACTTTAACACAGTGCCACTGGTTCTCAGACTTCAGCTGGCATCAGAATCACATGGGGGCTTGTTAAAGAACAGATTTCTGGGCTGGTCCCAGAGTTTCTGAATCAGTAGGTCTGGGGTAAAGCATAATTTGCATTTCTAATAAGTACCCAGGTAATGCAGATGGTGCTGCTGTGTGTGGGGCCACACTTCAACTTTGTCCTCACAACAACCCTCTGATACAGATTTTATTATTATCCCCAATTGACAGATGAGGAGATCAAAGCCACAGAAGTGAAATAACTTGTTCAAGGTCACACAGCTGAGGAGAAGCAGAGCCAGAAATGAAATGCAGGCAGGTTGGCTCCAAAGAAGGGATTGGTAAACTTTCTCTTAAAGGGTCACACAGCAAATCTTTTAGGATTGTAGACCACCGCACACAATCTCTGTTGCAACTACTCAAGTCTTCCATTGTAGTGCAAAAGCAGCCATAGATGATACTGAAACAAATGAGCATGGCTGTGTTTCAATAAAACTTTATTCATAGAAACATGTGCTGGGGGCATGGGCTTGCTGACCCCTGTTCTAGACTCTTATGCTTTTCAGGCCTTCAATGTAAAATGGCAATGTCAATAGCACCAACACATTAAATACTTAGCACACTGCCTGACATGTAAGGAATCAAAACCTGTTTGCCTTCATGATAATTACTGAGAATTTCCAATGTCACAAATAAGTGCTTCACTTCTGAAATTTTCAAGGCTAGAAATCTGTGAGGTGGGACCGTTGGCCTGGCACAGTGGGGAGGTTGAAGGGAAGCTCCCCAGGTTTCAGCACTCACAGGGTTTCTAGCTTCTGCTGGTCGGCCCCTAGAGCGGAGCACCCAGTGGTTGGAACAGCAGTGCCACAGTGGTCCTTGGAGGATTGCATGTGGCTGTTGTACAAATAACAGAGGGTGAAATGGCATCAAAGAGCCACCAACTTTGGGGTCTGGGGTTGGGGGTGAATTGGAGAGAAACTGGAAGAAAGTTCAGGAAAAGGGTTGGGGTGATTAAGTAAGGGAAGGAAGTCAATACTTTGAATGATATTATCTATGTGCAAATTATATGTGTCTTCTTCGAACAGAATTCTCCAAGTGCTCAACTCTTTTGAACCACATAAGAGTGTGTCTCCTTTGTCACTTAGTAGTGCTACTGTGAGGGGTCCCACTCTAAGGAGAACCCAGAAAACCTCATTTCACTTGACAGTCTCTGTTGTCTGATTAGTGAAAGCGCATGTCTTCATAAGGTGCAGCAAAAGGGGCTTGGCCATTTACATTTAACCATAATCATTATCAATAAGCACTTTGAAAAGCTATTGTTCCTTTATGCTTGGTTCTCTCACCTATAAAATGGAGGTAATAATACCTATCACATGGGTTTGTTCTGAGGATTAAAGCATAAAACACTTAAAACAGTGTCTGACATATAGTAAGTGTTAACATTTATTTTTGTTATTTTAATTATTTTATACCATCCTCCTAAAAACCTCATGGAGTAGTAGGGAGGACAAGTGGTTTTGTCCATTTTCCAGGCAAGAAAATAGAGGCATAGTGAAGTCTGATTTCCTTTCTCTCCCCACCATGCTTGTGGCAGCTCTGGAAGTAAAAGTTTTTAATTTCTCTTTTAGTCTCTTTTCATTGGCCCAGAACCAAAGAGATATTTTTTTCTTTATTCTCAAAAATATTTTCGAAATTCCTAGTAGGGTCTTCTAGGATCACTTTTCTAACCCAAGGACTCCCTTTCCCTGAGTGTAAACCTTCTTGTAGTAAAATCCAGCTCAGCATGGATTTGTGACAAAATGGGGCTTTTGGCATGTTTATAAACATCCCCTACTTGAACGTAGGAAAGTGAACTAAACCGAGACAGAATAACTCCTCAGTCTTCTTCAAGGCCCCTTGGGGAAACAGGTAGCAGGATAACAGTTCATGGGAGAAGTGGGGATACTTGGGGAGATGCTGCCCTGGGGCTTGGGCCCTCTGCTAAACGCTAACTAATGCTGGCATTAATGCGTTACACTCGCTCGCATGCCGCTTTCCAATTACAAAGCACTTTGATGCATGTTAGCTCATTTAATCCTCATGTAACCCTGTGAAGCTGGTGAGTCTACAGATCAGGACACAGGCTCTGAGAGGTTAAGTGACGAGCCCAGGATTGTACAACACACAAGTGGCAGAGCGAACGGTCAAGCCAGCTCTTACACCTGCAAAGGGCCTGGGCGGAGAGCTGGAGGAGAGGGGCCAGAGGGAGATGCGATGGAGGTCCTGGGTGCTGTGAAGAAGGCTTTCCCAGCAGCTGGGAAGCCAGCGGGCCCAGCCTTGGGCCAACAGACAGCAGGAGGGCAACTGCTCTTAATGGGACCTGCTTTGCATTCAGGGGGTGCTGAGGCTGCCCTATGCCCGGTCTGTGCCAGGACTGGACTTGTGGATCTGACCATGGGGCCTGGCTCCACTTCGTTTCACTTAAATATGGAGAGACAGGAATACCCACATTGTGGTTAGATTCAAAATATCTAACAGGGGCAAAATCGCTCCCTCTGGTGGCTATTTCTAATAGTGGCAGCAACTGCAGCAAAACCAGCCCCAAGATCATAGTTTATGATAATGTGATCCATGGGAGGGAGAAGGTATTAAACATGCAGTGTTTTTCCAGACAATGTTCTTCCCTAGTATGGAAGTTGTCACAGTTGTCATCTCTTTGTAAATGAACTTGTATCTTTCTCTGACATCCCTCCCCCTCCCCCCACACACCTGCTATTTCTTTAGCTCTTTATGCTGGGACTTTCCAGTCATTATTTCACTTGTTTATTACTGTGGCATTATTAAGCCCATGTAATAGTTAAGAAAACTGAGGTTCAGAGACGTTAAGTAAGTTTATTAAAGTCAAAGCTTGTTAGTGGTGGTGCCCGGATCCAAACTCAAGTCTGACTTCAAATCCCAAGCTCTTGTCCGCTGTGCTTTATTGCCTGTCACGGATGTTTTGCTGTTAACATTTGCTAACATGGATGCTGACCCTGACATGCCAATGTCTAGTAAATTGGTTATGCATCAGGGTCATAAAGATACTTTAAAATCTGAAGTCACCCACTTTGGAAATATCAAATCAAAATCTCTGAGTATGAGGCCCATGAATCTCTATTTTCAAAAATGTGTCCCAGGCACTTCTGACACAGATGGCTCAGTCCAGGTCTGTGAATTGGAATCTGTAAGCCATTGCTCTGGTGCTTTTAAGTTTTCTAGCCCTGTCATATCTGTAACTTTATTCACTTATGAGAAAATACGCATAAGTGAAGAGGCAGGCCTGGGAAGTACACTGGTTAAGTACTATGGCTCAGCTTTGCCACACAGGATAGAGAGAGGAAAAACTAGTTGAGGACTTTCTCTGGACGAATTCTTTTTTTTTTTTTTGATACAGAGTCTCACTCCATT